TGGGGGGGGGGTTGGCTCAGTGGTTCCACAGCCTGGCTTGAAAGTGCAAGTGCCCAAGTTCTATCCCCGGTACCAAAAAAAGCCTGGGGAAGAGCTGAGAGCCATTAAAGCTCCATACACCCTCCCCACCTATAGTGAAAGAGTTGTTTCCAGAAAACATACGTCATCCCCCACAAAGCTGTTTCCAAAATAGCCCAACCCAAGGAAGCTGCCAGAAATCTCAGTTGAGCTCTACCGCACAACTGCTCAGTCTCCAATCAGTGGTAGGACTACAGAGCTGGTAGCCCAGGATTCCCAGGTATCAGAAGAAACCATAACACAAAATGTAGTTTGGGGTTGAATGAATAAGTCATGGTTCAGCCCCTTGATGTGGAAGCAAAACTGACCCAGTCACACGGTTAGATTTTTAAAAAACAGTAACAATGCCTATTGAAAGAAAATAAACATAGGGACTAGTTCTGGTTCCCAAAGCGAAGGTTGAGCACGTCCCATGAGCTAGAACAGAAATTTCCCTTTCATTTGCAGAGCTATTTGAAGGCAAGTGAGTGACAGTGATCACACGGTTACCTCCTCAGTAAATGGTTGCGCACCAGACTGCCTGTGCCCTCGTAAGGCTGCGGGGCGCTCTACGAAGGTCGAATGATCTCCCAGACCCACAAATCCCGCCTGCCTTCTCCCCAGGACTGCCTGCGGCGTAATTTCAAGTGAACTATTTGACTCAGGGCAGAGCCGTTTCTTCCGGCCTCCTCAGGGGCTGGGAAACGCTCCCGGCATTGGTATGGAAACAGCAGGAGGCCCTGGAAGGGCTGCCGTTGCGGGGCATCAGCTGGACCCGAAAGGCCTTGGAAAGAGAGCTCAGGAAGATGCCGGGACGGAACGTTCTCTCTGATTGGCCAAAAAATATCAACGCCTTCCAAAAGAAACTTGGTCCGCTATGCACATGCGCAGGAATTCAACGCGCTGTCCCTTTTCAGCGGGAACGTTGTGGGGTTCGGATGCAAAGAAAGGGTGGCTGCCACACAAGGGAGGGAGCTCCGGAAACTACGCAGCACTGCGGATTCCTCAAGACAACAGAGTGTTTTTCAGTCGTGAGAAGCCTCTGATAATGCGCGCCCATCCTAGCTTGCTTGCTTGCTGAGCCTTATGGGAAACGTAGTGCAAGGAGCGCGGCGGTGCCCGTGAAACAGGCGCGGGATTGGCCAGGGTAGCGTCGCCAGGGCAACGAGCGGCGGGACTGGCACGAGTGGCGCCACTTCCCGGAAGTGGCCTCCCGGCACTGGCGCGGTGGCTGAGGTGAGCG